TTCCCCATTTATTTTTTATTTATTTTTTCGGTGTCAAGATGTCGTATCACTATTATTAGGAGTGATCGCCATTGTTTGACTGCAAGTATTATCCCAGCAAGGCATTACACTTCAAATAAAGTGCACTGCCGTACTGGAAGTTGTTCTCCAAATGTCAAAGGGTTCAATCAGCCCCTTGTCGAAGAACTTTCGTCTTTTATTGAAAATTACCGGGCAGTGACATAGCAAATGGTCCGAGTCTTCCTTTTCTATGCCACAGAAGCGACGTACATCATCTTGAAGTTTTAAAATCAGCTTCAAGTGATAACGGCTCGGACAATGACCTGTTATAAGACCTGCATATATACTAATATCTATCTTAGAAAGTTCCAGGATTTTGTGGGTCACAGAAATGTTTGGATTTGTCTAGCAATAGAAGTGTTCTTGCAGTTTTCCTTCACTTTTGAAGATTCCCACGCTTTTAACTCCATTCTAAGAGATGCAGCCGATAAGCCACAAAAGGGCTCTGGCCCGATGAACTTATGAGAAGATCCAAGTCTTGCTAGTGCATCAGCTCTTTAATTTCCGTCAATCTCGCAATGACCAGGAACCCAATATAAGTTGACTTGACAAGACAATTTTTGAAGCGATTAAACACACTCCCAGACAAGTTCCGATGTACATGTCGCCGATTTTAAAGCATTTAGAGCAGCTTGACTGTCGGACATCATGCATATACAGCAATTCCATAGAAAAAAGTTATAGTGGGTCTCAGAATTTCATGAAAATTGGTATAGTTCTTCCTTATCAAAAAATATTAGACTCGTATTTTTTTATTGCGCCATTAGGGTGACCATTTCCGTGTTAGGGTGGTCCAAAAAATCATTTTTTTTTTCAAAAATGTCTTTTTTCAAAAATTTATAACTTCTGAACCTCTTGACCGATTTTTACGATTGACCCTTCAAATGAAAGATGTTTTAATGTAGTTTTATGAAACACTCAGAGATATTTGTAGGAAAAAAATATGTTACAAATGCTTTTTCTTGATTTTCACTGCGAGGCTCTTCAACAACTTCTTATTTTAGTATTTTATATATTTAAAATCTTATAGTTTCTACGCAAACATATTATAGAACACTCTAAAATTGCTAGGATTTCAGCTTGGAACACAGTTCACCATCTGCTCATAGGACCCGATGTGCCTATACCTGGGCGAGTTACTCCTGCTCCCACTTGATTGTTAAATCTTGAACCATCTGTATAAAAAAAAAACAATCGATCCTGGACGAAGGGGTCAAATACTTGAAAAAATCGATTGAAATTGTATCTTTTCTCCATCCAGTCTTCGTTGTTCCTTACTAGAGAGTTGATACTAACAATTTTAAGAATCCTAAGATGTCCTCTAAGGTCTCCTTCAAAGAGTTTCACTGACCTTGTAGTCTTTAGAGCACACTTTTCGGCTTCTAATTGTATAAATTGATGCAATGGTAGTATATAAAGCAAAGCATTCAATGCCTTCTATGGTTTAGTTCTCATTGCACCTGTTTCTGAGAAAGTTGTTAACCTTTGGAGTTTTTCTAACTTCTCTGAGCAATACCCTCTTTTGTTTTTGGCCACCAGACCAATGCACCATAAGTAACCCAGGGTTTTACAATTGCCGAGTAAATCCAATGGATAATTTTCGGTTTCAGTCCCCACTGTTTACCGAATGTTCTTTTGCATATCCATAGAGCATTAGTAGCTTTGTTTATTGCCTGCTCTAGATACATATAGTAAACTTTACTATCAAGGATTACTCCAATATAGTTGACAGCATTAGAAAGTTCTAAAAGTGTGCCTTTCAATCTTATGTTGTCTTATTTTCTTTAAAAATTTCTTCCTTCGCGTAAATGGCACAATAGTAGTTTTAGAAGGATTTATATTCAATCCTTCCCTATCACACCATGATGAGACAACATTTAAGGCAATTTGCATTCTGTTAGCGATAATACAATCATATTTGCCACGTACAATTATGACTATATCATCTGCGAAGCCAATTATTTCGAAGCCTTGGGCTATTCAATTTTTGAGAAGATTATCAACTATTAAAGACCACAATAGAGGTGATAACACGCCTCCTTGCGGGCATCCTTTGGTTGCTCTTGAGTTTCTAAGGTTTGCTGATATTTCTCTTTTTGATAACATCTCATTGATCCAATTTACAATGCTTTGATCGAAACCACGTTTCATCATAGCTGTACCCATTGAATCGTGAGATGAATTATCGAATGCACCTTCAATGTCAAGGAATGCAGCAAGTGATATTTCTTTGGCTTCAAGAGATCTTTCTAGTTTTGTAACAACCGTATGCAGTGCTGTTACTGATGACTTACCTTCCTGGTATGCAAACTGATATTTGCTCAGGGATTTCTAACTAGATATGATGACGTTAACACCACTTTTCCCTTCTGCAGTAGTACTGGAAAAAATCCATCCCTACCTGGTGACTTGAAAGGTTCAAAGGAGTCAATCGCCCATTCAACTTTTCTTTAAGTAAATATTGTGTTGGCCAAAGTGCAAGCATCAGCTCTAGTTCTGTCTAACTCAGTCAATTCATTCAAATTTCATGAATATTCGTCCTGGTTTCATCGATACCAATTGCTGTTGTCGTTCCGTTTTGGTCTTCGTTTGAATTGTTAATAGAACATGGAAAATGCGATCTCATCATCAACTCTAACGTTTCATTAGTACAAGTAGTAAAAGCATCATTCTCTTTTTCCAAAGTGCCCAGCCCATTGGAATGATCTCTAGCGAGTATTTTCTGTAACGTAGCAGTTGCTGGAGTATTTTCAAAGTTCTCACATGTATGCCTCCAGTGTATCCTCTTTGAGTTCCGTATTTCCTGATTATAAGTGGTGAGGGATTCTTTATATTTTTCCCACTGTTGTGTTCGTTTAGCCCAGTTGAAAAGCTTCCGGGTCTTTTTAGGAAGTTTCTGTAGCCCGTTGTTCCACCAAGGTACATCTCTGTTTGTAGAGCTTTCCTTTTTCGATTTAACTCTCATAAAAGGCACGTTGGATCAATCTTGAAAGCTGTTTAGAACTATTCTGAAATTCTTCACAAATTTTTGAGCTAATTACTAAAGGTTCAGTCAGTTTCTTTATTTTCAGGGAGTTTCCGAGAACTTCAGAGTTTCATCAAATAGTTTTAGGAAATTTCAATAATGGTTACAACAGCACAAGTAACGGTATAATGTGTTATGAGATTCTCGGTGGCCTTAGAGCAACCGTTTTTGCTTCCTGAGCTAAACATCATCAGTTTAATCTCAGGCCCATCTACATTCAAGATACATCTACATGGTAATGACAACAACTTGATGATTTAAAAGGAGCTCGTTTGCCTAGTGGCAAACGTTTTTGCTTACTGAGCAGAAGACCGTGAGTTCAATCCCTAGATCCTTTACGGTGTTATGATCGTTAGGACATCAATTCAGCTTATCGTTTACCAAAACGAACCCTGCTGCAAAACCAACCATCTTACCTAACATCCCAGTGATTCCTCGTGGAAGTACAGAGGATTCCTCGGCTTCCATCAAAGCGAGTGGCATGTCAACACTTTCCTACCCATTTTTTCTTGACCTGTGTTCGGGCGTGGCTGGCGCTGGTATTGGTTAGTTTGAGATCACCAGTTTGTATACATTGAGGATGAATACTAATCCCATGATCCATTGGTTCTCTGTGTAATTACAGCTGATCTGATAATAAATAACAGAGTAGCAACCGGGGACAGTCAATCATGCTAATTCATATGCTTATGCTCAAGAAGCTCCGAGAAATTATAAAAAATTCAGAGAATTTCAATAAGGAACAAAAATTTCAGACGCATCCAAAGAACTTCAAGGAAATTCCTTGATGAAACTAATAAATAACTTCAGTAAAATTATGGGAACTTCAGTATAGATCAAAGAACAGTTCCAGGTAATTCAATTAATTTTAGGAAAATCTAGGTTAAACAGTTCTGAGAAGTTCAGGGCAGTTTTGAGAACTTTATTGAAGTTCATAGATTGCAATAACTTCAGGGAACCAACGAAAATTTCCGAAAATTCTAGACGTTCGAGGTAGTTTAAAGATCTTGATCAATAAGTAATTTTTGTTGTGCTCAAGAAATAGTGCTGATAGCAGTATTATCATCGCCAACGTTTCGATCTAGGGATTGAGATTTTCATAAAGGCCAGTTTTAGCTTAAGATCGTTGTACTGAAAGACGGTACAACTTTATATACCCTGTGGAAGACCAAGTTCAAAGACTTTAACGTCAGACATAAAACATCGTAGCTTTTTGATTCACCGTAATGCTCAAAAGTTAATTTTGTCTGCTGACAAATTTAACCCGTACCCTAGTTTTGATTAGAGGCAACTAGATTGTGTATTCATTCCAGTATGAGAATTGTGGGTACTCCTTCCAGCCACTGATTCTGTGGAAAAAAGCACCGCGAAATCGAATTAGATTCCCGGAAATCGGGAAACGAGATTTATGGTTATTTTCCAGTGAATGATTTCCCGAGTACAAAACACTATTTTTCACATCAACTGTTTTTTGAAGTTACCCAATAGGCATACGTACATATTTGAAACCTCAAAATTATTCAATCATGGTTTCTATAGTTGAGAACGCATTGTACAATTTATACAGAGAATTAATATTTTGCTCAAAAAGTGCTATAAAGCTTTTGATTGACGTACTACACTTGAATCACGAATGCTATTGGCTTATGTACCTCAGAAATTATAACTACCGGTTATTTTAAATGTCATGAGCATTACAAAATTGGTAAAATTTTCATTTAACGAAGCCTTCGAAGCCGACGGTACACAAACTACCTGCTTATATCATCCAATCAGTAAGTTATGTAACGAAATAATAAAGCGGCGGATGTTTAACGAATCACAAATTTGATCACTATTCACGAAATTTCCACCACTCGCAACATGCTTCACATAAAAAAAACAACAACAAATATTTGTAAAATACTCTATTCACCTTTTTGTTGTTATTCGCTTGCTTCCTTCGGCACACTCCTGTAAATGTGAAATTCTCCTTTGTTGATTTTGAGTATTTCGTTTGCAGCGTGATCCTTTGCTTCACTCAATTCACTGTTTTATTTTTCACCTATTTAATTTGGATTTTCTTTTCACAATAACCCTCACTTTTCGATAATTTCAATTTATAGAAACCACAAACTTTAACTTAGTACAAAACTTCAATTCACCTTCACCTCTCTCACAACTACAAACCGCTATTATTCAGCATCGACTTACAACACGCCCCTTATTCACCGTATAAAATTTGCATTAATTTCACTGTAAACTTTTCAAGAGCTTTTGAATTCCATCAAATTTTCATCGGATCACTTTCTTCGGAGGAACCCAACTACAACAACAACACCAAGCCCTTCACTCGCCTCACGCCCGCCACTCTGCCTGGAGGGCAGCACTGTTTTTCCACCCCTAAGCCGGCGTCTTTTCTTCGCTCACTCGCTTCGGCCAAGCTTCTGCTCTTCTTCCGCTCCACTCGCTTCAGCGATTTTCTTCCCTTTTGACGCAAATCTCACATAAATCGAATACACGACATTTTCACCTTTCTGTAATGGTAACTTTTCTTTTTTTATCTTTTTGCACCGAATTCTGGCTCTCCTTCTCGCTCTCTTCGATGCCGGAATCCAGGATCAATCACGAATTACAGCATCACTTCACCGCCGGGAGAGATGGGCAGCGTTCAATAGATTAAGAAGAGATGGATAGATTTAGCTTCGATTTCACCTAAAATTTTCCACTTCCCGGAGAGGTCCACCCCAATTACCGCTTGCAACTTTTGTCGCGATCTGGATATTTACATGTGAATAATCAATGAATCCTTGCCTCTTGGTAGATAGTCCAATTTCTCTTCACAGATTTTCGTTCTTCTTGTTCTGGTGGGTCCTCCCTTTTCCCCCAATCTCTCTTTGTATGTATGTAGGTGTTTTTTTCTTTCTTTCCTTTTTTTATATAAGGAGAAAAACACAACGCGATCACTCGACGACGAACCGCAAGTGAACGTTACTGAAATCAAACTGAACCGAGTGTGGTGGCAAAGGTTATGGCTGCCACTCGGTGACGGTCAGGATTTGGTCCTTTTCTGCTCAGCTGATGGCCGCTCTCAACTCAATGCCGCCGCCGCCGGTGAGAAGAGCTCCACACTCAGAGAACCGGTCTCACCCCACACAGATTCATTGAGTTGAGCGGGAGAAAATGAGAAAGTATTCGCACGCTGTCAGTACTTCTCCTGCTGCTCGAAAAACTGCTCGATTTTCCCAAAATCCAAATCAAATGATTTTCCATCGATCGCACCAATCATTCCATTTGTGTATCCTCTCCGGTTCGAAATTTCTCAATCCCGATTCCAACAGAGTGCTTCTTTGAATCAACCTGCTCATCATATGATGCTTCAATCCAACGTTCCACCCCCCTCCGAGAGGCTGACAGATTGTTAGTAAATATTTCCAAATTATACTTACTTAGTTCTGACCACTTCACAGTTCACACGCTCGGCTCGCGGAAAACTCGTGCACTCCAAATATTTAAACACAGATTGCTACCTTCTCCGCTCTGCTACCGTATTCCGAAGGGGGACGCAATGTTTTGATTTCTGGATCGGGCCGCGTCGGTCGGTCGGCCCTCTGCCCCCCGCTAGTTGAGCACTTTCACGCGTTGTTCGTTGCGTTTCAGCACGGAGATGGGAAAACCACGGAAAAATATACACTCACTACCAAAAATCATCTGCTGCAGGTCAGGTGGTTGGTGGGTGGAATCTGCGAGGGGGTGTTTTGCATGTTGTATGGGGGTTTTTTTCTCTCTCTGGATTTGCCTATTTTACCAATGAGCAGAAAAAATTAAGCGTGCTGGCGGGTGGTCACACCACAGCGTGTTCGTTGGTTGTGGCCCCGGTGTTGGCTACATTTTGTGGGTTACCAACGTGAGCTATGGTTTGGTGGAGTGAGATGAAACTGTTGTTGCGTGCTGGGCTAGGAGCGGTTGCAAAAACAGTATTTAATTTGATAATCATTCGGATCGGGAAACGACGGGAACTAGAATTGATTTTTTTTTTAATCGGCTTTTCAGTCTAACAGTGGCAGTCGATCATTGATTGTCATTGATTAAGGTGAAAGTTGATACTTTCCGTTGATACCCGTTCGAACCACACCCAAATTCAAAATGCATTAATACCAACAAGCATTGCAAATTAGCAAAATGGAAAGTATATTTGAAAATATTCGTAGATACAATATTACCACAGACAAACAGATATAACTCTCGCAAGTTTTTCATCGAACAAGAATTTGACGGTCAATTTAAAAGTATCGTAGTTGGTAGTACCGCCACCTGTGGCGCGCATAGTTAATTCCCTTACGTTTGACGTTTACACACAACCGCCATCTGTTCAGCGTACTACCCACCACACTGTACTCAACAGATGGCGGTTATGTTTTACAGTGAGAAACATTCAATGTGTTATGTCTGTTTGTCTGTGATATTAATGTACAGTTATAATACATCTACTACTGAAATGACAACTTAAATTTCAAGATTATAAAATTGAGGAAAGGCCTGCCGAACTCCAGGGAGTCAAGAAAAAATTCAGGGCAGTCCTGACAAAGTTCAGGGAAGTCCTACCGAAGTTCAGGGAAAATCTGCTGAAGTTCAGGGAAGTGCTGCTGAAGTTCAGGAAAGTCCTGTCGAAGTTCAGAGAAGTTCTGCAAAAGGTCAGTGAAGTTCTGCCGAAGTTCAGGGACGTTTTGCCGAACCTCAGGGAAGTCCTGCCAAAGTTCAGGGAAGTGCTTGGGCATGCTTGGCATGCACAGTTGTACACACCAACTGCTCCTTGGTTAATAACTTTTCACTCAGTTGTTGAAATTTGTTTTTCTTTGAAGTAATTGATAGATTAGGATCATACCCAAGTAATCACGAAGCCCGCTAATAGCCCTATAATCGCCCTTTTTGCAATATAAGGTTAGTATAGGTGTTTGATGCTTCCTAAAAGACGGCATCCGGGGTTTTGTTGAACGATATTTTGCTGGTGGGACCAGTGACTTAGGATGATTTGAGGTCGATTATTTGCGTTCCCATACTCGCCAGATAATGCTCGTGTCGGATGTGGAAAAAATGTTCCGCCAAATTAACCTCTACTTTTACGACAGACTACTTCGTCGCCGTTAGAAGAGGTGGAGGTGTATGAATTGAACACCGTTACGTACGGTACCAATCCAGCTCCCTTTCTGGCTACACGAACGGTCAAATAACTGGCGATTGATGATGGCAACAGGCATCCTGCACGCGCTCTCTTGGAATGTAGATCCAAGAGCAATTTTATAACGGAACGGTTATGCCAACGCATGAGTCGAAATAAGGCAGACATCTCAGTCCTAGGCATTGGACAAACTTCTACTACGGTAAAACACCGGATCCGAGCAAAAGTACGGTCGCGAGTTTCCCCGTTTTCGCGTGAATTGGAATTTTTGATTTTACCCAAAATCCTCCAAAGCCTATTCCAGCGCTTGAAGAAGGTGGTAAAATTTTGATCAAAAAATTCGGAAAAAAAAGTTCAGAAACTTGCTAAGCAATTCAAGAGTTCCCATAATAGTCCTATTGAAAATCCGGTTGCTCGAGATTATCTGAATATTTGCTGATTTGGACGAATCTATATGACTCGTGCCATGATTTTTTAGACTACTGTGAGGATCGTAGTTGACAGGTATTTTTTTCCTCAATCATCGTCTCAGTGAATGATCTGTCAAATTGCAATTAAATACAACAATATCCCATCATTACCCAGGTAATAAGAAAAATATTTTGACTCGAGAATTATCATAAAATTAATGTATCCTGTATTTTGTATCAGGTCTACTGATTATCTGTACCACCATGTCTGATATCTTACTGCAAGATTCACAGAAGCGGGCATCGGAATACAGCATATCATGCGCTTTACGGTTACTTTTTCCTTGATCTATCCAAAGCTAAGCTTGCAATCATCTATCGGAAGCATAAGTCAACCACTTCCAAATGGATTTCCACGTATCAACAGAACGGATTTTTTTCCCGAAAGAAATACAAACGCGACGTGAAAAAATTTGGTGCCGATAAGCGGACATGACTGGTTAAATTGTACCGCTGCAAACCGACTCTTTATCTGGACGAAGCAACGCGGTTGTTTGAAGACACGTTCCGGATCGCCATTTCCACAACTGATATTTGAAAATACCCACCTATCGATGAATGTACACTGGTATAATAAACTTTTCCCCAGACTATTTATTCCAGAATAAAGCCGATAGGAAAACAGTGGAACAGAACAATTGAAATGGTCTCAACTCCATTTTGTTAACAAAACTTGTAAGGCCATTTTCTCGCGAACCGAAACCTACATTCGCAAACCTAAACCATAAACGGGTAGAGGATAATTTCCCCTACCTGTTCATTATGTTGTTTTGCCTAGACGGACTAAGGTTCTCTAGAAAATGGTTCGTTTACAAAATGGAGTTGAGGCCTTTTCAATTGTTGGTCTTTAATTGAATACAATCTGACAAGCGCGTAAGTGGAAAATAATCAAAACAAATCAAGAAAAACGATCAAAGCATGCACGCCTGTGAGTGAGGTGAGGGATCGTGGCCAGAGCTGGCAAATGTCATTTTCAATGAAAGATCTCACGCGATATTTACAGAGATACTTCTGTCACTATCATTGGATGAGAAAACGATGATTGAGATTTTCTTCAAAATCTCATCGAATTTTTTGTCATGACAGAACGTGACAGTGTTGCTATCATCGTAATTACTAGCTCATTTAATGCTATTAAAGTTACTTGTACCGAGGAAATCTTAATAATTTATTCACTCTACCGATTACATGCGATTGTTTGCTTAAATTCATCTAAATCAGTTAGAAATATTGATGTCAAAACCGCATAAGAATAATTCTCATGAGTGCTTGATCATTGAAAAATGACAAGAAAGCTAATGATAGGTAGTTTCGTCTCGTGATAGTGAGAGGACCTGTTTTCTCATCGTCACATGACGGCCGTGATATTTACCAGCTCTGATCGTGGCTGATAAAATAATTTCAGCTCAGGAGTCCACCAAGGTGCAAAATGCGCAAAAGCTAAAAAAAATTCATTATAGGGTTATGGGATGTAATGTCAGCCTAGCTCCTCACTTCGGCCTATCAAGCAAATAACTCATTCATTCCGCAATAATACACAATAATTATCAAAAACTAATACCATATCTGCTGTAAAATTCTAATCCGTAAATCAATTGCCTATTTTTTGGACAAATTTCGAACATTTATTGCTCTTTTTCAAATAAAAAGTTTAGTGAAATTATCTTAATTTTCGATTTCTAGGCGCCATGATCTTGCCGTATTATTGCACTAACAAAAATATACGCTTCGGGGGTCATCAAAAAATCCGATAATTGCATGAATTCCATAGACTTACCTTTTTGTAATATGTTAGCCTAATAAATCAATATCACACTTTTCTTTCTTATTACAAAATTAGAAGATTTTACGCTTTTAGCGCTTTATAACTATGGACCGAACTTTAGGGATTTGATAAGTTTATTTTGGTATTGGTGAAACCATTCGCTTTGACGATGACTCTGAAGCTGTTCACTCCTATAGGAAAATGCCATAAGCAAATGCCGAATTTCGAGCAACATAGCGGATTGTTTTTTATCCATTTACTCCACTGAAAAAATCAGTATTCACTCGGCAGTTGACAAAAGCAGGCCACTCTCGATGTGTGCTACGCGATCGTCTGTTTTCTCGGCAGCAACCATTGTGTGGTCCTCCTCATTGTTCTTCATCAGCAGTTCTTTCGATCGATGTGTCGTCGACTTTGGAAAGCAACCGTTTAGTGATGAGTGTGTGAGTGCTGAACACGTTTTGCGTCCATTGCTGCAATGGAAGCACTCTGCCATACAATGATGCCACTGGAAGCGGCTCCACTTCTGATGGAGGAAGCTTTTTGGATAGCGGAAGATAAAGTGTTTAT